GATGGTGGACTGAGAAGAGGAAGAAGAAGAACTCTCTCTCTCTCGTATGCCAGGTACTAACCTGTGAAGGTGGCTCTGTGCTGCAGGTACCTCGAAGACGAAGCTGGAGCGATGGCGCTGCAGGTAAGTCCCTCTGGCCGCCGCCCAATCTCTCTCTCTATAGTACTACTCTAGCTGCTATGGCGCCCAGCGCTGAAGACTACCGCTAACGCTACTAGCGCCCAGCGCTGAAGACTACTGCCAACGCTACTACTACTCCTGCAGCGCTCCTCCAGAGTGCTGCTGCCGAATCCTGAAGACTACCTCCTGCCTCCTGAACTGCACGTGAAGTGCCTGGGAAGTACCTATGAACTACCTACCTGCCTGCAGGGCGGGGCCAGTCCTATATAGTTCTGGCCCGTCCAGGAGGCTGCTCTTGCCAATGCCGAAATGTGCCAGGCCCTGGTGTTGAAGCTCAACCAGGGGTTGTCTTGAAAACAGGCCCGAAATGGCCTGTGCTAAAACCCTGGTTTGTTGCCTGAGTTTCAGGGCAGGTCGAACTGATGAGGGCCCGAAAATGGCCCTCAGTTTCAGGTTGAAAACACTCAGGGCCGGAAAGGCCCTGATTTAGCCTGAAACGACACAGGGCCTGTAGGCCCTTGTTTTCAGGCTTTCAGGCTGAAACGACACAGGGCCTGTAGGCCCTTGTTTTCAGGCTTTTGGCCTGAAAACGTCAAGGGCCTGGAAATGGCCCATGCAGCCTGTTGCAGGCGCAGCATGTAACACCTCTCTCTCTCCCTCTCCCTCTCCCTCTCCCTCTCCCTCTCCCTCTCCCCCTCCCTCTTCCCCCCCCCTCCCTCCTTTTGAAACTCCCATGGAGCACCATAAGCACACGTGCAAAAGCACACAGACGGCTCGTCCATGTGCTCCTAAAAATAACCTGAATAAAGACAGCCTGTGGGAAATGCCGATTGGCACCCACAGTTTATAAGTTTTGAGCCTGCTCCTGGAAGCCCTGGCTCAGCAAATAGACCCCTGCAAACCCAACGTCCATCTAATTATGGGTCCAGGCCACCAATAAAAGGGCCCAGGGGCTTCTCCTATCGTGTCATGCTTTAGCCCAGGAATGTAAACCATCCGCGTGGCAGCAGAAGCCTTACCTCCGTCCATTACACACCACCAGGAACATAATTACTGGTGTTTAATCCACCACTCCCATCCGGACCTATTTTTGTTTTGACAAACCCGAAGTTGCGTTCCCCCGAGCCTAAGATCGAATACAGTAGCGCACCGAGCCTGGGCACTGGATAAATATTTTGGCCCGGTGCTTGTAGACCATCAAAATGAGCAGCGCAGGGGCTGCTGGAGTGGTGGTGTAAACCACGAGTACATGGCCATACATTGGCCTCGGGCCCCTCACTTCGAGGTCCGGAGGCCTGAAATGCGATGCCCGCCACTGACGAAGTTTATCAACGGCAAGCGGACCCCAACTTTTACGGAGTAGGTGACGAACAGTCTCTCCGCAAGGCTGAGGCCATGTGCTAACGGTTTAAAGCACCCTGGGCACCTTGCACACCATGTGCTTTGGCAAAAGCAGCCCATGTGCATTCCTTCCTCTCCCCCTCCCCTCTTCCCCTCAGTGCAAGCTATTGATGCTGGTCATAAATAGCCTACAATGCCAGACTCCAATTTGGCACCAATGCAGGTGCCATG